GTAACCTGCCATGAAAATTATAGAAGGCAGAAAACAAAACGTTAAACATAGTTATATTTTCGTTCCAAACGCCATTCAAATTTACCTATTATGAAGACGAAGACGTCGAAACAGACGAAAATAAATATCATTATCAACCTCGTGTGAGCTCATCAAAGAAAGAATACATATTGATTACTTATTATGGTTTTTCTATTGAGATTAGAAAGGTATTTAGCTGACTAGGTTGCATTTGACTCGACCTTTCCAGGCCTAAATCATTCGATACGTCAGCTACTATCAATAAATATAGTAATGGGAATCTCGTGTGTGCTCACAAAAAAAAAATATGGCGAATTAGTGCATCTCCTTCCTTCATGTACAATTTCGTCCTGTATACATACCATTCCCTCCCAACGGTATACCGCCTCATCGTGCCTGGGAGGTATTCCTGCGTGTAGGGCTGCAATGTGCAGTAGGGGATTCATCTCGTTGGTAAAGTCTCCTAGGCGGAGAAGGAGTTCGGCTTTTCCATTGGGGAACCCATCTAAGAGTAAACAAATACCAGGATCCACCACCGTACAGGTATCAAATTAGTCGCATGGTGGCAAATCTCCAGATGGCCCAGAAGGGCTGAGACTGGCTGTGGTGGTGACAACGTGCGGCAGACTTTGGCCAGGGCTGACCTTGGGATTCCAGCGAACCATAATGGCTAAACCAGCAAATCTTCGAAAATGGTGATTATGCTGGTGCCCGCACAACCAGTGAGGATGGGCCGTTCAATTATCAACTAAGTATATGAAACCAGCCAGACTAACGAGACGTATATTAAGGCAGAAAAGGTCACAAATTCGAAAAGATGGGCACGGAATCGGCTTTTCTATATGATCACTGCATCTTCAAAGTTCGACAAGCTGTTCACTCTTTCCTGCTCAGTTCCGGTGCTAAATTGTTCTATATTTAAACTTATTACCACCAATGCAGATCGCTAAAGTACTCGAAGCTATCTGTTTCACTAGTTCCAGATTGTGATCTCGTATTTGTTATGAAAGTTCTTTACACACTGAGGAGTGGTGCTGGACGAGTTGTATAGAGCTTCAGTTGTAGTCGTCGTTAAAACGAAGTAAGAAGTCTTTTTTTCAAATGCATGAAAGTCGTATAAAGAAGAGTTTTGTACTTCCGTGATATCTAGTTGAGTTTCATTACCGTGCTAATGTAAGTGATGATGCAAATTCCCTGTCCACATAGCTATGCATCCCATGATGCTATTTCGATTCTGTCCATGACTGAAGTTAGCGTTCAGCACGAAGACGACAGGGAAGAGACAAATTAAGCGATAGTTGTGGAATGTTTTCCAAAGGATTTCATCTCGTTGCGGTGGATGGTGCTCTTGGATGTCCAAGTGCGATCCTCAACAGGCGAAATTCTCGGGAATGGTCTCTCAAGTCGAAAGTGATTTCCGTACGAATCGCCAGCTAAAAGTAAACGAGTGGTTTTCTTTATCCATGTTGTTCATACGTTCATGTTCATGAAGAACAGATTGGTTTCATATGCTCCACTCACGTTGGAACGGTACGAATATCTCCGAAAGCTACAGTTACGTCTATCTAAGTCGGGAAATCAACATGATGAACAACTTAGCCCCAGACTTGAACAGAAGGAAGCGAGCGGCTTAGGTAGTTTTCAAGAGCATCGAGGATGTAGTGAGGAGAATAAAGAACACCCAACTCTATGTCCAATTTTTCGACTCTATGATTCTTCCTGTCTTAACGTAACGTATGCGTCAGAAACCTGGCTAATGCGTAAGCAGGATGAAAAATCACTCAGCGTTATTGAACGCGCAGTCGAAAGGACCATGCTAGGAGTGTTCCGTGTCACACAGGTTACTGAAGGGATCCGAAGCTCCGATCTGCTTCAACGATCAAATCACAAATACCATTCTGTACGCCAAACAGTCAAACATAAGGTGGGCCATACGCGTAATGCGTATGAACGATAACCGACGGACAAGAGTCGTCAGTGACTGGATTACTCGGGATGCCAAACGCACTGCAGGAAGAACACTGACTCGATGGTCAGAGTTCTTCACGAAAAGCCTAGAAGAAAGATATGATGCTCGACGGGTCCCTAGAGCGAGCAGAACCCACTGGGCTACTCTTGCACGTGACAGGGAAAAATGGAAGACTTACTGGTGTCCGCTCGAACCATTCGACGACCAACGGGACGATAAGTGATACATGTTATAAAGAAGGGAAGAAAAAGTTTCCACGGACAGCATCTACGTTGAACAAAGGTTCGACCGAATGCAACGATTGCGGTGGAAAAGCTCTGTTTAACAAAATAAACCAATGAAGAGGAAATTAAGAGAACGTAATGCGTCCCACTGCGAATGCATTGCATACAATGCATCATGGGTGCTACTAATCAATCAATAAACTCATCTCGTTGTATTACGAAAAACCTCTATGGTACACAAATAAGTTCGGAGAAATTTTTTAAATATTGGGACCAACGCTTCAACAGAAAGAGAAAAACCGGAGTGGTTCGCTTTGCAACCTGAGAACTGAGAAAATTAATTCCACAATGTTTCCAGCGCGGCCTGCTATATGACTAAGACTTTTAAATAAGCAATTACCTAGACATTCTATGGATCTACTTCTCTCTTGAGACCATGAAGTTCCATCAGAGAAGGAATCAAATCAAACCAGAATCACGTTCTCGACGATCGGTACTTCTTCGCGAATATTGCGCTCTAATGCAAAAATGTGACCCAGTGCAATTCGAAATGGACTCTCATCTCGTTTACTCAGAGTTCACGGAGTGGATTCTATTCAGGGATCGTCCATCAATTTGTGATGTCGGATGATCCTAAAGTGAAAGAGTTCACTCTTAAAGAGGATCATGAGCTAAGATTTGAGGTTAGTAACTTGGTAGGATCTTCAAGTTTTGCGATAGAGTTGTCACAAACGGAATTCTCAAGCGATCCCTGCTGTACTTCATGTATTTTTATCCAGGTGGGCAGTACGGAGGTTGTCCTCGAACTCTTACAAGGAAGAGCAGAGGTATTCGGTACGGAATTGGAAATGCACAAGAAATATGCTTTCCCACAGAGTACGTTTTCTTGTTTTTTCATATTTTCATTCAATTTTATCTATTTATTTTGTGAGCTTAGTAGAGTGGCTGAAGCAAACACTTTCTGCTAAGCTCGAGTGTTAGACTTCGTATTCTTAGTAGCTTTGAAAATGTCCCACTTTCAAGTTCACACATTTGTTCTTATTTTGTTCTGTCGAAAGTTATTAAGAAGATATTTACTTGGATACTTGAATGGCCCGTCTTCACTGGTTGTGCAGGCCCTAGCATATTTTCTATTTTTTCGGAGTTTTGCTGGTTTGGACACTGGTTCCTTGGAGTCCCGTGGTCAGCCTAGCCAAAGTCTGCTGCGGGTCGTCACCATTATGGGGAGTCGCCGCCTTTGTGAAACAGAGGGAAATTTGCCGCTTTGCGACTAATTTGGTATCGGAACGGTGATGGATCCTGGTATTGGTTTACTCTTAGCTGAGCTTCCTAATGGAAACGCTTTATTGCTTCTCAGCTTGGAAGGCCCTGCTGTGGCTATGGATCCCGCCGGTTTGCATCGCAGCCCGATACCCAAGAGCACTTTCCGGCCACATTGAGGCGGTAAACCGTTGGGAGGTATTAAGAGTATATCAATGTCGAAACTCACCAATATTGCTTATTCAGTTTATATAAACAAAGGTTGATTATATGTATTGTTGCCTAGCTTCAGATACTCGTGTTGCCGTGTTCAGCTGGAAGGGAGCGTCAGTTGAGTTGATTGGACCTACGACAAGCGCCTATGTTGCTGAGCATACTCCAATGGTAAGTTGGTGAAGTTAGAATTTCACTTGTTCTTCGTTAATTTTAAAGAGGGCTGTATTTATTGTGGGCTGTATCCTAGGTGATTTATCTAAATACCCATGCTGCATTGGAACAACTGCGACAGCATGCAGAGGAACAGGCATCTGTAGATGGTACAGAGATTCCCAAGGGACCTCGTATTATGCTAGGTAGTTTTTTCTCCAATAATACTCTTCCATTTGTAATGACGAGCAGTTCTCAATTCATAGTTTCGATTATTAAAAGTATTCAACGTTTCTCGCAAGGGTTATCTAGTGCTTTATGTAGTTGGACCAACTGATGTGGGAAAGACCACTGTGTGTCGAATACTCTGTAATTATGCAGTGAGGCAAGGAAGATCGCCAGTTTACGTTGACTTAGATGTTGGCCAGGTATTTTTAGAGATGAGAAGTTTATGCATACCACATTGTTAAAACATTTTTAGGGTAGCATCTCTGTACCTGGCACAATAGGTGCTCTTTTCATCAACAAAACAGCGGATGTAGTTGAAGGTTTCGACCGCTCAAAGCCACTTGTTTATAATGTAAGAAGTTTAACGACCATTCGTTCTATCGTCAGTAATATCGCTGTGTTCTTTTAGTTCGGTCATACATCTCCTGGTGAAAATCTAACTCTTTATGATTTGCTGGTGAAAGAGTTAGCGGACTCGGTTACTCTTCGATGTGCTACACATCCAGAGGCTAACCTAGGTGGTCTTGTCATCAACACATGTGGTTGGGTAACAGGAGAAGGGTGAGATTGTCTCGTTTAGATTTACGTAACATGATTTCTGTAATCGTAGGAATCATCTAGACGTAGAAGTTTGAAATTTGTGGAAGGTGACAGGGAGGGAAAGTACCATTTAAATTGTTAGAGCCATTTGTTCAGCACTCAAACACGACAGTAGTTTTAAACTAGCTATTATTGTATAAGGGCGCGTGTAGCCCAGTAGTCGGAGGCGCCGTGCAGTATACATTGGGGCGATCCCGCACCCATGGCTCACCAAGCTTTCCATCCCTCCGGAGTCAGCAAATTGATACAAGACTTGTCTGGGAGGATAGCAGCACCGGCTCGATGCAGTGGTAGGCTACCGGGAGTCATTATGAAGGCCAGATACGCATTCAGTCACCTCCAAATGATGATTAATTAGGTCAAATTCATAGCGCTTGCTTCAGAGATTGATGGACGCCGAGAGCTTTATCCTTTTAGCCTTTATCATTGTATACCATTTACCTATTGAATTCCAGATATGCATGCATTGTTTCGGCTGCTGAAGCTTTCGAAGTAGATGTTGTTATTGTACTTGACCACGAACGTTTGTTCAATGAGCTACAACGAGATTTACCCACTTTTGTTAAGGTTTGCTCATCATGGCTCTTGAGATCTCCAACTTTTCTTTTTTGTTGTATTTGTAGATTTTCCTATCATCAACTCAATTGTAGATACTCCACCAGCCTAAATCCGGTGGTGTAGAAACACGATCTCGGCAGTCACGTCTTGCTGCAAGAAGTGCATCAATTCATCGGGTTTGTTCTATTTTTCTTGTGGTGTCGCAATTTGTATTTCGCAGGACTTTCTTTTTTATGATCGAATTAGTACTTAGGAATTATTTCTATTGTATTTTCAGTATTTTTATGGCGTGCACTCGAATCCGTACTTCCCATTCACATTTGAGTTAAATTTTGCTGAAGTGATTTTTTGTAAGATCGGAACTGAAAAACTTCCTGAATCGTGTTTACCGTTTGGTTCCAAAATTGAAGACCATCAAACCAAGGTTGGTCTCTATAACGGCAATACCGCGAGCCACAAAATTCTCCTGGTGTTTCGATTAAGGTCCTTCCCATTAGTCCCAGTTCTGATATGGCACATAGAATGTTCGCTGTTACTCCATGTCCTACTGTATCACAAGCTGTACTGAAGGAGAGTGTCTTGGGATTCGTTGTCATTACCGAGGTTTGTTTTTTTTAGAGTTTTTTCTTAATTGCAAGAACTATTTAGAACTATTCTGTACAATTTCGTAAAACCTTTAGTCTGATGTTTGGACACCATTCATTGTTAATGGTTTTCAAAAACGGAAGAATATAGGAAATATGTGAAGAAAAAATACGAATATTCGAATATATCATATTTGCGAAGGACCCGCATGGTGTGGTGGTGAACGCGTTAGCCCTCGAAAAGGGTAGTAACGCGTTCGTTTCACAGCGCAGGCACTTGCGGTCCGTAGTTCTGCAAATACTCAGTGTCGTTCTGGCTTTGTTTCCCATAAGACGCTGTCGTGCAAAATTGTGGTAGGCAGCAAATAAGAGAGCTAGTTTCATACTTGCTTTTGTAGATTAATATGGAGGAGAAGCGAATGACTGTGTTATGCCCACAAAATTCCTTAACACACAAAGTGCTTGTGTGGACGGATGTCACTTTTCTGGACGATCAAGTAACCCGTGCTGCTGAATAATGCAGATGATCTTCGAAACTGCTGGGAACTGATGTGTAAATAAGCCAAATGCTGTTGTGTTGGATTTTTCTGTTCTCTTTTTTCTTTGGTGGAGCAGCTGTTTCAGAATGTGCTTTACTGTTGTTTTATGACTGCAATGAATAGCTGTTAACTACAAAGTTTTTGTGGTTTCTGTTTTTAACGTGATGGAATGTACTCATCCAATTATTCCTTTGATCAGGAATCTGCCGTTGAATACTCAGATGTTTCATAAAGGTGTTGATAACCGTATGATAGTCCACATATGATTTCACATATCATGAGTTTTTGTCGGAGTAGATGAGGAGTTTTTCGGAGCTGGGAAGTTAGGTGAAGGATTCGGTGCCACAATCACAATAAACGGTGAGCTTGCATTTTAAGTTTCCTAGGTTGCAGGTGTAGGAATATAATGGATGATGAAGTAGACGGTTATTGATTAGGGTAAGAAGTGCGTTTGTTTAACTAGCGGTAGCAAATGGTCCGTATTTTGTTGAAGGGTTTTGTGCCGTACAGGGCATTCCTTTAATAGTCAAGGCAAACATTTTTAATGGACGGCAATAGGTTCGGTTCTAATTTTTGTCGTCTCTGTGCAGGGGTCTATCAATGGAATTAGTACAAATCAATGCTGGTAATTTACGGTCAGTGAGGAACCTGCACTCGGGGATCTTCCCAGTCGTCTATTCGAATAAATTCTTCGAGCAGGTACGGTATTTGCGTGTACGGTACGAGCGTGTTTTATTACCATCGAACTGAACTAGAGTTTTCTTTTGGAAATCGAGATAATTTCTTCAGCGCTTCAAGAGAGTACAAGATTTATGGATAATCTCATCGTCTTAATACTTCTTGCAGTTCATTAGGGAATATTGGATCGTTTGGTAACGCAGGCGCCCAGTGACATGAGGCTAACTTAACATCGGAAAAGTTTTGAACTATCCAGGCTTGTACAGACATACCTTAAACCATGCGGAAATCAGTTTCATTTTTCTCCGTCTCCACAAACGGTGACACTTTAAACCATATCGTATAACGTTGATTTCTCGACATATGTTATTTCCGCTTAGAGGATTTGAGATGTTGAGAACTTCACAGGACTTGATAGAGGAAATTTTTTTCCTTACAAAGTGTTCTTTCAACTCCAAATACATTTAATGTTGAAACTCTTAAGAAATGGCAAAGGAAATCTAATTTTTTGGAAACTTCGGAGCATGTGGGGCAGCTGCAAAACAGTCGTGTCCTGCTGGTGAAAGTCACCGTTCTTCAATTGTTTTGGTGCCTAGAAAACGATCCTTGGTTCAAAAGTAAGAGCAGAATGTTTCGTTGGCTGCGGGGTACCAGAGTACTAGTTTCATCTTGATAGATAAGAGGACTTTTAGTTCATAATGGTGTGCAGGTTGTAACAGCTTTTATTTCAACTTATAAAGTTCATTATGAGCTGAAATACCTGGATAATACCTGGACAGCCCGTCCTCATTAGTTGTGCGGTCTCTAACATAATCTCCATTTTTCCGGAGTTTTGCTGCTTTTAGTCATTGTGGTTCTCTGGAGTCCCGAAGTCAGCCAGGCTAAAGTCTGCGCCAGGTCGTCACCACCACAGGTAGTCGCCGCCGTAGTGGATTAGAGAGAGATTTGCTACCATGCGACTAACTTGGTACCAGGGCGGTGACGGATCCTGGTATTGGTTTACTCTTAACTGGGCTCCCTGATGCAAACGCCGGACTCCTTGTCAGCTTGGGAGACCTTGGCAAGGGGATGAACCCCCCACTGTACATCGCAGTCCGACACCCACGAATGCCTCCCAGCCACGGTGAGGCGGTAACCCGTTGGAAGAATGAGCTGGAATATGTTGGTTTAAAGTTAGAGCCATCCTTTATGCTTAAACGAAGAGCTTTAAATCCACTGTATATACTCCATTTCGGGTGTTATATTTTAAAGATAAAATCGGGTTGGCTTGGTGACTCATTCGTGAGTCTTATAAATTAATGTTTTTGAGTGATACATGGAGAAATTTGGGAATAATATTACTGTTTAGCGTGGCAATCTAGGTTTATGGTGTAACACATAACGCCTTAAATATTAATAAACAATGCACTTGGTGCTAAAATGAAGGCAGTCTTTAACTTTAACGCTTGACGGACGATATGCATTGTGGGCAATCACGCGTGGCTGGGAATTATTGCACAATTTGGCCCTAAACAAATATATTTTAGCTCATAGTTAACATCATTAATCTAAGTAACATTAGAACCGACATATCTTTCCTAAAAAATGCAAGCACTCTGATTTATAATGACGAAGTTCCAATTCTCTGAGCCGGAAGGGGCGTGTTTATTCCGCTTTTTTCCGTCGGTAGTGGTATTACGAACCTTGAGGAACCTTGTGACTGAACAGGAGCGACTCCGTAAAGGAGGCACAGTTCTAGTTCTTATCACCTTGAAATTTAAATAGCTTTGTAGTAGAAATCACATTTCGAGAAATCATATGTGTACCTTGAAGGTCAGGGCCACTGTTATAAAACGATCCTGTTAGCAATTCGCCAACTACTCTAGTTATCGAGAAACTATGGCCAATTGTCAAAGAACCAGCATTGGTCGTTAGGGTTTAAATCATTATGTCTCAGTTTATGAGTAATTATTATCTGAATTGAAAGGAGACTCTAGAGGTCTTTTCTACAAGGTACGAGTCCTATTACTCAACCAAGATGGAGTTGCGGAGCCGACGGAACGTAGTTTTTTCTTCTTTTATAGTCAAGTCGTATATCAGAGCAAAAGAAATTGAACAAGTGAGATTTCTTCCAACAGGACACTATGGTATTTCCAGTTTTCTTTGATGTTTTAACTGCAACATTTGCTTCAGGATTTTTAAAAATTAGTATTTCTTTTTCAATTTCTTGAAATGCATTCAATCACCTCCAGCGATGCTTAATGAAATCGAATGCACGGCACATCTCTCACGGATTGATCAACGCTTAGAGCTTTTAGCTTTTATCATTTATTTACTCCTTGAGAATTTTCGTTCTAAGGAGGTTTCTATCAAACTATTTCAGATCCAGAACAATGACTTATGTTCTGTTTTGATGGCGAATGGAACTTGTGTTGGAACCGTGTGTTGTAAATATGAAATAGTCGGTTGCTCAAAAACTCTGTATATAATGTCGCTAGGAGGTTTTTTCATTATAACCATCATTTTATGGTCCTTTGGAATGAAAATATCTTACAGTTTATCCAATTTTATAACGATTTCAGTTCATCCGTTATATCGTTGCCGTGGATTAGGGGGAAAACTCCTTGATTTTGTCACTTCAAAAGCCGGCGACATTTCTGCTTCCATAATTAAACTTCATGTGCAGGTAGTTTTAAGGAGAACTTCCCATAGTATTCTAGAATTTGTTCCTATTATTATCGAGAGATCGGGACAGTTGTTTATGCCATGGAAATAACAAGTAAACATTTTCGTTTGACAAACGTGTAGGGTTGTAATTGAAGATGAGATTACGAAGGTAATGTTATGCTTCGTTGTTTAACGTCGTCATTCAAGGTCTGCGAATGTTCTGTTATAAATTTGCTATCAGTCTTTTTAAGAAGAGAATAACACTTGCGCCGAAGGCGTAGTGTTCAGAGATAACGTTCAATGCATTCACGCCGCTGGATCGATCGAGCCTCAAGCCAAGAAAACCTTCTATCTGCAAAATAGCAAAATGGTTTCATATTTATCTGAGAAATGCCCACTACGATTTGCAAAGACCGAAAACCGTCTATGATAAAGACCTGGGAGCTATGTACTAGACAAATCAAGTAATCCCAGTATTCCAGGGTAATCGACTTGACCAACATCTAACAATATTCGTGAGGAACATATAAAGTCCTCAACCCAATTCATACGAGGAAGATCTATGTGGATGATAGACGTGAGAAGACAAACCGACGACGAAAATGCTTGTGTTCCGGCAATACGTGAAGTTGGGTCATATAAATGAATGAGAATAATCAACCACAGCTTCAGCTTAACTAGGCTCAATGCCAATTTGTGCTCTCCAGATCAAACTCGTTGACGGGTCATTGCTGCTTGCACTGGTAGATAGGAAACTAGCTGAGAGACAAACGAAACGAAGGACCCCGTAAAGTGTGGTGGTGAACGCGTTAACCCTCAGAAAAAATAATAGTGCGTTCGTTACCAACCGCAGTAACCTGTCCAGCGATCCACAAACATCTCATCATCATGATGAAAGTAATGTTAAAGTTCCGTAGTTTGGAATTCGAGTATGGAGATGTGGTGTAAACATAGTTTCGAATATGGCGGAGTTCAAAACTGGTTTAGTAAAACTTGTTTTTCCTGACTTGCACACTGGATCTCACTTCATTACATGACAACAGTCTAAGCAGTGACGTATTCGTTTTAAACGAAGTGCTTGTATTGTCCCAATGTGGATCAACTACGAAGCGACAACTCTTGTGGTTTGAAACTACTTAACAACACTGGATCTGTAAGCGTTTTTCAGTATTTGGAAACAAAAGTCATCGGAATGGTTCTCATTCCGAACTCAGAAGAGGCAAAAAAGTGGGATCAAGAATATCTACCTGTCAGGAGATTTGTTTGGGTTTGGCTTCTATTTCCTGCTGTTGCTGAATGTCATTGAAGTATGGTTGATTATTCCTGGAATAGCCGTGCTAGGGTGTTACTAGCTCTCATTCACAGACACTCATGGGTCTTTGCAGATCGGAAAAACTTTTGTGCAGAAAAGCTTGGTATCAATTTTCTGAACTCACAGAATGGGAGACTTTCTCGGCCGGGGGGTGGTCAAACCAGGAACCGTGTGTGCACTATTTCATGCCATCTCTAACCACCGCGCTTTCCCCGCCCATTCACGTGAGAACTGAAACATTTAATAGTACTCGGGATTTTTCTCTTTATTCAACGATTTCCACTACCCAATTCCAGGTGAACAATTCAGTTGCTATAGAATTTTATACGAAGCGGGGCTTTGCTATTACTGAGACCATCCCGAACTATTATCACAGGTGTACCCCTGCCGATGCCTATGTTATGCATAGAGTGTTGTAAAGCCTTCCTTTCACTTGCGACTAGGATTTTGAAGTGATTTTGATTTATTGTTGAAAATACTTAAATCGTTTCATAGTATGCACGTGGAATTTTCCTTTTTAGCATTCACTGATTTGTTGTTGTGTTGTCACAGTAGTGTGGCCTTGTTGATAACATTGGGTTCGTATTTAGCATGATTTCTGTTCGTAAACTGGTTCACTGTCCGCCAGTAAACGGTCTCCATAAAAATGTTGTTAGTCATTTGTTAAGACATTGGTTGTCGGAAAACATGTGTCTGATAACAGAGACGCGATCTATACTAGCGTTTCCATGACTGATAAGAAAATGTAGTTGCGGAAATGATATCTTCAAAGGTTATCTTTAATTCATGTGAACTGTTTGAGGATCGTGTGTTAATTGCTGCTCAAATGGAACAATAGCACTATAAGTATTGACTTCCACTGACAAGTGAAAAACTAGAGTTACCTGTTGTTATGTAATACTATGATTTTAACCCACTGACGGCGATATGATCCTCATATGTGGCAAACATATTTCCCAATAGGTTATCTTAGCTGTACATATTTTTCTGTGATATTTTTTAATCAGACCGGAAGTGGCTCCATGCCATTTATATTTTTACCGGAATGGTCCTTATAAGTCTATTTTATATACACCAAACCTTTCACTATGCCAGTTAGCTTCTAGGTGAGCGTATAGCTCAGTGATTAGAGGCGGAGTGGAATACACATTGGATCGCCTTTTGGCTGGATCCAACGTTTCAGGGTGGCGAGTCTTCTATTACTCCTGGATCGGTAAATTGGTAGCGGACTTGTCTGGGAGGATAAAAACACTAGCTTGTTATATCGGTAGACCACCGCAAATCATTGTATAGGTCAGTATGCGTTCAACCCTTTCTACGATTTCGGATGGTCGAAGGCATGGCGCATCCTTCCATGGTCAACGCTGGACGCAGTTAGCTAGCAAAACCAGTTGTTCTTTTGAGATGTATGTACAGAAAACTATAAATAAGAGAGGTATCTACTATATAGTAGCTAGTTTTGTGGACAGATAAAGAATGGGGAACTATTTGGTCGTGATCGCTGAAGTCCACAAATAGTTCCAATCGATTAGGTCTTTCGATAACCTGCGAGTTCAAATTTGAAGAAATAATCTTATTGTTGGTCATGGAGGTCATAACGAGTTCTCTTTTATTTTTTCGTTTGAGCACCATTATATCGCTTGCATTACGTGGAGTTTCAAATTGTTCTCTCTCCAGCTCTGCTTTTCCTGATAAGCTCATTAGAGAGTCAGTTTCTTCTCCTCTTACACAATTAGTCAAGTAGGTCCTCTGAAGTTAGCTCTAAGCCGTAGAGACGCGTTTAGATTAAGATTTCTTACTTCATCCAATGAATGGTATATGGATCTAATCGCCGATTCAGCCACACTGCAATTCCTTGTAGTCGGGTTGTCAGCCTACATTGTGACTCTGTTCTTACAGTCTTATAGTGAAGGCCTCAAAGTGTTCCTCAATTCCTGAGAGGTGCGCCATGCATTCGACTCGCTTAAGTATTTTGGAGATGATTAGATGCTTAGCATGGCCCAGCGTCCACGTTTTGCGAATATCTCAGCATCATTGCGGTTATTAGATGCACACTTCGCCGGTACAATGATTTGCAGTAATCAACCGATAAATCAAATCAAAAAGTTAATGTTTTCTTCTTGGGCAGATACGAGGTTGTTAATATAAGATTTGATCAGCGATGGCTAACGTTCCGGCGGTTTCTCCTTTTTCAGGTCCTGGAAAGGTCGAACTGATACGCAATCTACTCATCTAGACACCTTCAGAACTTCAGCGGAAAAAAAACAATGCATAAATCTTATTGGCATGATAAACAGCTCCTTTTAAACATTCACCGTCTTTATTTCTTACAACTCTTTCGATTGTTCAAAGAGATCTGCCGTACGAGTCTTATATGGGTGAAGAATTTGCCGGCTTCGGAACAAAAAATCGGAATGAGGTTGTGTGTGATCACAATGCCCCCTCCCTTCGGTTCATCTTGGGATTTTTGGAATGTGTCCTAGACGCTTCCAGAATTCTTATCGGTTCAAAATCTCTGTTCTCCCAGACGGCTCTAATTTACTAATACTAATTTAATACTACTAGTACTAATACTAATTTACCACCCAAGAGGGATTGAAAGCTTGCTTTGCCAGGAGCGCGAGAAACGTTGGCGCATGATTACATACATAGAGGCAGTGAAATAGGACTGAGGCAGAAATCTACGCAGAAAAATATGATATTCAGAAAAACCGGTAAAAAGATGTAGAAAAGACAAGTTGCAGCGCAAAAAGCAAAAAAAAATTACGGGCTTGGTTTTAAGACTTGATAGAACTAATTAACGAAATGTTAGACTTGACAGTGCTGAAAGATGTGGTTTCGACACCAATTTTTACTTATTTCCTCGTTCATACATGTATGTGGTTCTTTCCTTCCAACGGTTTACCGCCTCATCATAGCTGAGAGGTGTTCCTGAGTGTCGGGCTGCGATGTACAGCAGGGGAATTCATTCCTGCAGCAGGGTCTCCCACGCTGAGAAGGAGTCCAGCGTTTCCATCAGAAAGCCTGGCTAAGAGTAAACGAATACCAGGATCCACCACCGTCCTGGTATCAAACTAGTCGCACGGTGGCAAATCTCCTTCTGATCTACAAGGGCGGCTACTGCCGGTGGTGGTGACAACCCGGGGCAGGCTTTAGCCTGGGTGACATCGGGACTCCAAGGAACCATGATGGCTAAACCAGAAAACTCCGAAAAAGAGGAAATTGTGCTGGCGCCCGCTCAACTATTGAAGGCAGGCCATCCAAGTGTCTAAGTGTTTAAGTATATGGTTCTTTTGTTTAGCACGTACATGTACGATAATCGGTTCCGTTTACCGAAGTCGTAATAGAGTGAGGCTACATCTGATAAGCACAGGTGTTCATCTTCTAGGTTGTATTCCATGAGTGCCTTTGCACAATTCTCAATTCCACATTTTTCCATTTACCGACAGTCGGAATGAGGTAGTGCAGTTGGTTTTCTGTGTACTGGTTTCATTTGAGCAAAGATCGGTTCGTATGCACAGTGTAATATTTTCGACGTCGTTATGACAGTCAACACCTTAACTACGTAGTAGAGTACATAGAGAAATTTTGTCAAACATATTTGCGCCGAATTCTCGATCTTCCAGTTGGTCGGCAACTTCATTCGAAAGCTTTAACGCATTCCATGTTACTCTCCAATTCCTGTCACATTTCGGCTCCAAGTCGTGCTCAGTAGAAGCAGTGGAATGAGCATGAAAGACGTAGCCATCGTCATCGAGAAGTTGTCCATCAATTTGTTCTGGCATATATTTTCGGGATTTTTTCTAGAATATGACTGAATCGCTATCTACTGCGTTGATCACGCAAAGGGTGCTTTCCTATTAGTCACTACTTTTTGTAGAACATAGTAGTAGTTTATATGAATAATATGAAAGGAGGTTTTCGTCGTCCACCATTAATGTGATTGATTTGTCCGACCTTATCAGCTGCAAAAATCGATGAAGAACAGTTGGTGGTGGTATTTTTCTACCGAGGTTAAAGACCAGAGAACCAGGGCTAAAGACCTAAAGACCAGGAAACCACGAGACGAAATAACAAGATCATGCGAATCTACGTGGAAGAATCTTCCATACTGTCGTCCACGATTTGTCGTGGATATATGGCTATGGCTGAGAGAAAGGCAAAGCAGAGGCGTCGTGCGTTGTGATGGACAGCATGTGAACCACTGGAAAGGCTAATCACTAGTTCGATGCCCAACTGAGTCTTGGTTTTGCTTATGTTTCAACATCCTTGTGGTTATGTTTCACATAAAACACTGTCGTAGGAAACGAACATGCAGTAAATAGTAAAAAAATTTAGACGTTATTTCGACCGCAGCTTCAGCATAACTGGGTTCAACGCCGAATTGTGCTCTCCCGACCATTCCCTTTGGCGGGTGATTGTTGTTAGCACCGTGAGAATAAAAAACTGACTGAAAGAAAGGCAATCTAGGAGCTTCGGTTAGTATAGTGGATAGCACATAAACCTACGCAAAGGCTAATCACGAATTCTAACCTCAACGGAGGTTCCGAGTTTTGGAAATATCTCAGCATCCTCATGGCTGTATTTCTGATCGTATTCTGCCATGAAAAGTAGAATGACTAAAGATTAAACGTCAAAGCATTGTGATTCTCCGGTAACCTGTCATATCACCCTGTTTAGTAGACATGGGAATTCAATGGGTGACGCGTTGTCTGGCTTTGCGCTGTTTTTTTAACTCCACACGCCAATGAACTCGCTTTGCAGCATGGATTGATGCCCAGAAACCCAATCGTCGAACGTAAGCGGTGAACCATTAAGAGGTTGCTTCGGTAACAACAGCGGATTTCCGTGGTTTCATTAACTTTCGGTTTGGTTTGGTACAAGTAGTTGGTATTCTCGCCATTATTCGTTTCTTGTAATTTTTGAATATTATAAGCGTGACGATATCTTTAGGCGTTTATTACGAGTATTCTCGTAAACACATTTATAGCCGTCGATTATAAAACTACAAAAAAGATCTCCATAACAGGTTATAACTGTATGATAGACTAGTCATTTTTACTTGTCTTATTGTGCAAGATCCCTCTTCCTTCAGATAGCGCGGATCGTAACACTTTCTCAGAAAAACTCAAAAACTCAGAAAATGTATTTATTCCATTGCAAGTGTGTTTCCCTGTTGTTCTTAGAGTGCTCTCTCAAAAAGTCGCCACTCCTGAGCCGTTGAATCTCCTTGCGAGATGGCTGGTCGTTATCTACTGCAGAGATGGAAGTGAAAGTCGCTCCGATCTCGCCTATCCAAGGGGCGGCCATGCCTCGTTGTTTGACTCGCACCGGTCCATTCGCAATTGCGTGACGGCCTCTTTTCAACGCAACATCTTAACCATGCACTGGACAGTTCTAAATTCATTCGACTATTTGTGATTGCCGATCTTAGCTCTTTTTATATGTAATGCCCTGATTTCCCGCGCAGTTGTAGAGACACTGATTGGTAGGATAAGCGAGAGTTGTGTTCCAAGTACTGTCAGAGATCTGGTCCATTCGTTGCTTTCCAGATCTTTACGGGGTTGGTTACATCACTTAAGGATGGTGTGTGAGTGATGTGATGAAGTACCGTAGACTAGCAGAGCAGCAACTTCTAAAGTCCACTGAAAGGTAGATTTCATCAAAGTCAACTGACAAGGATAACCTGAATTTGTGAGAACAATAATGCGAATGGGTCGAGCATCACACGCATTTCATAGAAGATCTCACCCAATATTTTTGATATAACGCTGGCGCCTCGTTCAGGTGTTAGACAAATAAGAGGTCACTGAGGATTTTCTGCCTATTGCGATAACGAGTACGTTATCTCGTCATTGTAAGTGTTCTAGATAGAAAGGATTACAAACTCATAAAATCGATACTGATTAGTTCTAAAGTCATCTATTCCATTATCCTAGTGCTAATTCGGCAGTGTGTTCAGCTTTTGAGAATTATAGTTGTAGCGCTGTTTTCGACTTTAAAAACTCCTATTCCTTTCTATTCTATTCCATTAGCCTAATGCATTGTAGTTCTAGTGCAGTTTTCGACTTTAAAAACTCCATTAGAGACCGTAGATTTTCTTATGTTACTCTCCTGAAACCTCTGTAAAAGCTATTGTCTTGAACTTAAACTTGGTCAGGTTCTGGTTGGTGACGCACTGTGAAGAACAAAAATGACTTAAAGCCCGTTGAACGGATTCTTGATGGCGTTTGTGGAGGGTTCAGCGTAGAGGCGCGGCCAATCTAGCCAGTTCTTCTGCTAATCGCCTTTTAATCGCATCATCATCGTGGCTAGCTACCAACCTATCCGATTTTTCCATCTCCATTCTCCTTCCGTACCCAATCATCGAATTCCATCCTGGAAAATTACAACTATTCCTCTACTCATTGCCCGTTACTCCGGAAAGTGCAGAAAAGTCTGAAGCTGGATTTAAGGTGTCACTTCTCACACCCACAATTCTCTTACTTTTACTTTCTTAGCATTTCCTACTTCTTTCCCGTCATGCTTCTCGCAAATTCTCTTACTTCTTTGTCTGTGATCTTCATAAACTTTGGAACATATATAGTAATTTTTGGACTTTTCTTATTGAAGAATGGCACAACAACAAGGCAGAACAGAGGTCTGAACGGTGCAGAGTCCCCTCTTTGCTACTCTGATCAGAGCCGAACGCTGGCGGAAGGCTAATTCGGACGTCATAGCGAAAAGTATCCAGATATTTTCTGTTTAGTAATAAGCAGCAAATATTGTAAAGGAAGCCGACACGCTCAAAAAACAATTTTGGTATTAATAACAGCAAAAGAAGTTTAAAAGCAATAAAAAAGATCTTTCATGCTTTATGGTATGCGTGATCACAGTATTCAAGTGAACCGTTTATATAACGATCACTGTGCTCGTGTTTTCGTTCGTCAAGTTTCGTCAAGTAAATGTCCTCATTGAATTCTATCGTGAAGACGAACGTGTGAAATCGGAAGAGATGTCGATCACAGCCCTGAAAGCTGGTGCTCGCTCTCTGCCCAGCAGACATCACATGCTCTACACTGAAAAGCATATGGAAATACGCAGGGAACTCCGTAAGGTGAGTTAGCTGATTATAATGACGCTCTTTGTCAGCCATTTTCCTATAAACGTTGTCAAAGTAACTCGCTAACAACCTAGGAATCATTTTGGAAAGGTCACGTGACCGTTACGAAACCGTGTGCGAAAAGTAATCTTTCCTAAGTCTACAGTGGTTCTAAAGCTTTTTTGAAGTAGAACTATGCTTGAAATGCAGAAAAGAAATGATTCTTATAAAATCTCAGACGGTCTTTCGTCACCACCTTAATGCGAAATCTCATTGCTGCGTGTGAAAATTTCCATTCTTCCCACTTTTGCGAGATATGCATGCACGTGGACAATTTCTGAATTAAATAAAATAGTGTTTCGATTTTATATAGGTTAATTTTATCGACTTGTGCAAACAGTATTTTTAGGATATTTTCAGCTTTCAGTTCATTGATCGATCTATCAACCCACATGTTAAGAAGTGGGAGGACGATTGCAGATTTCCCGCACATGCCGTCTTCAAGCGGATCGGAAACCTTGGCGTATTGGCTGTTAATAAACCAGAAGGCAGGTTCAGAGGAGTAATCACCACCACCTTTTGTTTTAGTTTACATCCTGAGTTATATTCGATTCTCAGTTTTATGCATTCCATTACAGCATTCGGAGGACTCGGATTGGATTTCTCGTACTCTGTTGCTGTCGCTGAAGAGCTGGGCTCGATTGACTGCGCCGCAATTCCAATGGCAGTGTGTGTTCAGGTGTGCCACTTAACATGACTAATATAACTTTCTTTCGTCAGATAATGGTAGTACTATTTATTTTAAAACTCAGTCAGGCAGTGGAACGCAGTTTTTCGGTTGATCACTTTCTAACATTTCTAGTTGACATTCAGTTAGTTCTCAAATGTTTCCGCCACCGTCTTATCACTACTGGTTGTCGTCAAGTGAATTGACCAGGAGCTCGTTAAGTGTTTATCTGTTCCTAACCAGATTTACCCAATGGGTTCTACTCAAAGGAGGAACTTTGAAAACATCTGACTTCATCTGTGGCCTCTATGTGAATAACTTTGGCAATCTTGCCGGCAATTTTATCGTGTTTTGGACATCCCGTAGACATCTTCTACGCATTCCTGAAATAAAACCAAGCAGCTGTGGTCTCAATGCTCAGACTTAAGCCACTCTCCTTCTCCACACTTTGGTTCTACTAGCTATTGCTGTTATTATTTTCTTCATAATTATCGTTATTATTCCAATTATTGTGCATATAGCGCAGTGGTCGTAGGAGCCCTGCAATACACATGAGATCGATCCTCACGCCGCAGGCTCACCATGCCCTCCATCCCTCCGGGGTCGGCAAATTGCTACCACGCTTTAGGTAGGATAGCATCACTGGCTGGATACATCGGTGGGCCAGCGCGAGTCAATCGTAAAGGCCAGATACTCATTCAGTTAGCTCCATCGATGCTTAGTGAGGTCGAATGCATAGCGCATCCCGTAGGAATTGATCACTGCTGAGAGTTTCTTATTGCGCATGATTATTACTATTACTACTGCAATTGCTGGTGCTACTATTATTAAGTGATTCAACGAAGTTCAGTTCGCTCAGATCAATTTTCCAGTAGTTCGCAGTTTTTCCATAGATATTTGATTGCCTGCAAAGAATGAAAAGTGTGGTATGAAAAAATCCAAGGAACGACACGTGATTGTTGAGGTCGTTCTTTAGCCATCCGGCTGATAACGTAAAAGGTTCTTTTAGAAATGGGTTTTCATCAGAGGTGTCGTCTGTACGACACGCTACTACTGAACTATAACACTACTACAAATAAGTGTACGGCTTTCCAGACAAACATGGCGACCCCGGCTCTTGCCGAATTCGGCTCCGATTCACTTCGATCCGAATTTTTGGCACCGTCGATAGCTGGCGATCTTGTTGCCTGTATTGCAGTCAGTGAACCAGAAGCAGGCAGCGATGTGGCAGGTACAGGCTAGAATTTCATGTATTTTGTGTTGCGATTATTTATTTCTCTATCAGCGATCAGGACAAAGGCTCTTCGAAGCGGCTCCGACCTCATCATCAATGGCCATAAAATGTGGATTACAAATGGATATCAGGTATAAAACAGATTTTAGTGAGATCTGTTGACATATTGGTGTTTCGTTTTTAACTCAGTAGGCGAAAGGACAACCGCAGAAGAAATCAGTGCTCTCTCTTTCGAGAGGGTTTCGTTACCAGACTACGTAATGAAGTAAAAGGAAACGTTGTTAACAGCACTGCGCAATGTAAGCCATAATTCCGTGCTGAAGGATGGACTGGCGTCATCGCAAACTAAGTTCACACAATGAGCTGCGTGTCAAAGAAGAAAAAACGGCTTGCCTCCTTCAAGGAAAAATTTATAGGTCCTTGATTCGGAAAATTTAGGTGTAAACACTATTTTCTGACATTCCGTTACAGTTCAAGTTCATAATTGCTTAAGAATGGAACTTCAGCATCCATTTCACTACCTTATTTCTTTCGTCTTCAGGCTGATTGGGCGTGTGTGCTCGTAAACAGCAATAACAACCCGTCACCACATCGAAACAAGAGCCTCGTATGTGTGAGGCTTAATGAACCAGGTCATAGCAACGTTTGTTTCCTGGTCTCGTAGGATTCTTCTTCTCAATCTTAGACGATATCTTGAGGATTGATTTTAGAAAAAAGGGAAGGAACAAATGGGCGCTAACGAGCAGCGAACTGAAAAAAGGCTTAATTGTTTCAAGGGACAGAAAAGTAGCTTTTCGAAAATATTTTCCTGTTTGCCTAAAAAAGCTGGTAGTGATTTTCCTAGTTAAAGGCCATCTAATTGTAGTTTTTTTCTAGGGCCCCATAAAAGGACCCTCTAATTTGTAGAATTCTTACCTGAAAAGATTTGTACAGTTTTTGCTAAGCTCTTTAGCAGAGCGTAGACTACTGCAAAAAGATCACTCTAATCACTGGATTACTGAGAGGACAGTACTGTACTCCTCAAACATTATTAGATTAATGCAAGAAGTTGGAATTTCGCTTCGCCCACTTATCGCCTATCAATGCGCGACCCTTTCTCGGAATTCCAGTGTTATCACAGTGGGTGGGGAAAGTGGGATTGAGTGAAATTTCCATGAATTCTGGTTAACATATCTCGTAATTTCACCTATCTTTGCGAGATAAGAAATCAAATATGGAAGTGAAGTAAATTTGTTTCACTTTCATTTCCTGTGCTGGTTGACTTAAGTCCTATCATTTGAAATCCTCCTCGACATATTATTTAGCATAAAAAATTACAACGAAAGTGAAAGCCTTTACCCTCCGCAGAAGGAAAATATTTGAGAAGGTTACCAGTTTTCTCTGCGTTCATTCTAGTATTCGTATAGCCGACTATGCTGATTTGTTAAAGGCCAGCCACTCTGAAGACAATGGATCAGCTACTATTAAAAATATGAAAAGAGAAACCTATTATTGAACAACGTTAAAATTTCTTTCTGTTCTGAAGATTTCGAAAAGTGTTCCAGGTGTTCATCGCACAGCAAACTTGAAAAAACTCGGCATGCATTGCTCGGATACAGCGGAAATTTTCTTCGACAATGTGCGGGTAGGTAAATGGACAAACCTAACGATGCACTCAGGCCAGGGGAAGGTAAAGCACAAAGACAGTGAGAAGAACTCAGTGTCTTCCTCTCTCTTTTCCAAATAATAGGAACATGGCGGCTATGTTAAAGCTCTAAAGGATAAAAATGTCGGCGTTGATTAATCCTTGAGGGATTCGCCAAGCATTCGACTTTATTAAGTATCGTTGGAGGTGACTGAATGCATATCTGGCCTTTACAATGACTCGCAGTGGCTTAGCGATGCGTCGAGTCTGTGCTGTTATCCTCGCAGACAAGTCTGATGTCAATTTGCGATCCCGGAAGGATGGAAAGTTTGGCGGGTCATGGGCGCAGGGATCGATCCCACGTGTGTGTCGCAGTGGCTTCTCCAACCACTGCGCTACACGCGCTCTGGCGACTATGTCAGAAAAATTTGTGAAAATACAGCAGAAGTTGTATATTATAAATGTGTGGTAGATTGTTTAGTGTAAGAAATTAAAAGTGAGCTAGGGAAGATAGAACTGTTTTTTAAGGTACCGGCACGCCATATTATTGGTGAAGAAGGACAAGGCTTCTACTATCAAATGCTTCAGTTCCAGGATGAAAGACTGGTCGCAGCTGCTGTCTGTCAGGCGCTTCTCCTTCCTTCATGAGTTTAGTTTGAAAGTTCTTGAATAAAATGATTTCAGTGCTTGAACCAATTCAACGATGTATAACGCTGACAGCAAACTATGCTGCTGAGAGGAAGATATTCGGTAGTACCGTCCTCAACCAGCAGGTAAGTTCTACGTAAGTTTTACTCCGCGCAACAGAATTGTTTACTGAAATTTCCTGGCTCGTCATCAGATCACGTTTGTCTTCCGTAGATATTATAATGGTTCACTGAAATATTTGCGTCATTGGTCCTACTTTGTTTGTAGTGTGCTTTTTTCGAGGTAAGTAATTCGACCACCAGAGATTTCGAGCTGACATTGGTGTTAGCTTGATTCCATTAAAGCAACACTCTTACACTGAAATACGTTCTTGCAAAGAGAAATCTTACTACGGTACCAACGCCAGAAAGGGCTAAATTTAAATAGGTTATTCCAAATCCCTATTTTGAATTTCTAGACATAACTAAAGTTTTTCAATCGTAATTTGGTTGACCTCAGTCTACTTTATTCTGAAAATCACACTTTTACCCATTTTTCTTTGGAAATCCCAACAACATTGCGCATTTATTCCTGCAATTTTTGCAAAATTTTTTGTGGGTGTAAATGGACTTGACGGGAAATATCACAAATCTTTCCACTGTCACCATTTTAGAACATCGTTTTTGTACGCCGAAATATAATCACCTCTTACCTAAACACCACCTTTAACTCGAGCAGGCTCTAGTAAAACCATGCTATCGTCTTCGTGGAGAGCTAGACCGACCTTGCGCGCTCTCCGAGTTCAGAGAGACAAAACCTTCATATTTTCTGTACGAAGATTATTGTGTTACCATTTTTGGTGACTGTGCACGTAAGGGTAGCTTCGGTTGGCCGGTAGATTGTGGGTGTCTTTGGGGATCCCGTAAAGGCGATATTTCACTTATTTGCTGGAAAACACTCAATAGTAGACCATATAAATTTCCGCTTCACTCTTCAGTTCGTTCAATATGCAAGATATTGGTCGATCATGTTGGGATCCGCCACGCATTTGACTCCATCTCTACCATCCTTGAGACGACTCCATATATATTTGGCCCATTCAATGATTTACTGGAGGTCTATCAATATATAAAAGTGCTTTAATTCTTTCTGAATATCTGGTACCAATTTTCCAACCACGGAGGGATGGTTTTTGTGCCCTTCGCAGGATACCATTAATTGCTACGCTACACAAACCTTACAACGTTCATACACACAGGAAAGCCCACACATTTGTAGAAATATGAATGAGTATTCACAACTCAATGGAGAGGAAAGCCCTTACCACACTATAGTCTCAGGTCGAAGTCCACGATCGCCTTCGGCCCAGGTTTATCCCAGTGGCGCTGCCTGGAGACGTGACATGTAGCTCCATATCCAATTCATCGGAAGTCATATGAGAGTGCAATATTCGTAAAATTGGTTCTCTATACGTCGAAAATATGAGTGAGAACTTAATGCATAGTAGTGAGAAATGATAGCAAGCAAAAAAAAGATGTATGGCAAAGTGGAATCAAAAGAGTACGTAACCTTATCTTGTTCCCAAAAAAATGACCAAAAGAATGTGCTAATGATCAAAGGGAGGCGAAAATGTCAGCTGGTTTCTCGTGTTATTAAGTATTCATTCTTTATTCTTTTCTAAGTGCTCGCTTCCAGACCGTCCACTTCACACTGGCCGAACTGCAGTCAGAATTGGAGGCTGTACGATCTCTTCTCTACAGGTACATTGCATTTAGCTCATTTCTCTCTGTGCATCAATTTTCCAGAAAGGTGAAGATGGTAACCAGATTTGTCCTGAGTTTTTGACCGTTTGAATTTCATCGCTGTATGAGAGTTTTTCTAATGTTTGTGGGAAGAATTGTTTACCTTAAACGACTTTGCTAATTGTCACATATCTTTAGGCAGTACTCGTTTTCCCATATATGTAGATTGTCATTCTGTTTTCGTCCCTCAAAAAGCTGCAAAGACATAACCTGATAGGATTATAGAGCCGTGCTGTCGAGAATTCACGGCGATGACGTCACGCTTCTTGCCTCGATGACCAAACTGAAAGCTGGTCGTCTGGCGCGGATTGTGACGGACAGCTGTTTACAGGTGAATCACCATAACTTTTCTTGTAGGAGTACTCTCTTCAAAAGAATTTCTTCTAATGACCTCAAACACATCGCTTTAAATATTTGAGAACATTTGCCAAAAAACGATAATGCTTACTTCTCACCTTTTCCTTTTAAGGTGAACTTGATGCTTTTTAGTTCTGGGGCGGAAACGGTTTCACGTGGGAGAATCCGGTGTGCCGGATGCATCGCGACCTGCGACTCCACTCTGTTGGCGCTGGAGCTGATGAAGTTATGTTGTCGATCATCTGCAAACAAATGGGAATCGCACCACAGAAGCATCGGTCATGACTAGGATCTTCTGTTGTAATGTTTTCTCGAAATAAAATTCCCTTATACATGACGTTTATTTCTCAGTCCTTGTTACGAAGGAAGGAGAAGGAATCGAAACGAGGAATTAATTGGCTTGGAGAGTTTTCCTAAAAAGAGACTTCTGCAGGCTAATATGCTCTCTTTCACGTTATGTCGAAAAAGCCTCATAAGAAATTACTTTTTTATGTCTAATTGTACTCATTGATCTTTTCTCATATTTACTATGGTTTATTTCTCCAGTATTCGTTTTCAACGAATAAAAAAAGAGAAGCTCTCGATATTGATCAATACTTGGGGAGTGCGCCATGCACTCGAGTTCACGAAGCATCGTTAGGATCACGGTGGCCTGCCGATCAATCGAGTTAGTGTTGCTATTCTACTAGACAAGTTTGGTGCCAGCTTGCCTAGTCCGGAGAGATGGAGGGTTGATGAGCTTGTGACACGGGATCAATCTCATGTGTACTGCAGGGTACCTCCGATCACTGCGCTACATATGCCGCTTTCAATGAATGGTACCGTAAAATCTGCGGGCAATTATGCAATGATTTTTGACATTGCATTTACTCTCTATTATTCTTTTTTCATGGTAGGGTATTGTGTGAAATACAACTACAATGGAGTTGAGACATTTGAAAAACCCTGGAGCCTAGGCCAGCTTCGAGCCGTCGGTTACCTTTTCTAGGGACTCACGTGTTGCTCACTGCACCACCGAGGCCCTTACTTTGCCTTTCTCTCGGCCAGTTTTTTACTATCACGGTGCTATCAGCAATCCTTCAATTGAAATGATCTGGAGAACACAAATCGGCATTGAACCTCGTTAAGCTGAGGCTGCAGCCGAAATCGCAATCCTTCAACTTTTTTATATTTTGCTGCTTACTCTTTCTTTCTTTAAGTAGTTTTCTTCGAGTTACTTTCATGTCTTAGCGTTCTTATGGATACACTTCACAGCACACTTCCATGAAAAAGATTAGGCAGGGAACAAAAGTTAAAATATCGTTTGCACAGAGTTTTATAGCATTTTACGAACTACCTTCCGTGAACCAGTCAACGACTGTTGGTAGCAAACCTTCCACAAAACTCCGATTTTTCTCCGTACATATTTTGATTCTCTAATGTGTTTTTGCCATCACTAAAAGGTATGCGATGTTTAACAATCGATCTGTATATATTCACTAAAAAAACATTTGCAACACACAAAAACGGGCTTTCGTAGCTTTACGGTTGCCGTAGTCTTTTGGTTCAGTGAAACGACTGAAGACTAGTGAATCCCAGTTTTATAACATCACTTTGTCACCGAGCTGTACAGCAAAGGCTTTCATACCTTGGTTGCATCACTCACGTTAAGATGGACATCCGAAATCGTAGGTAAGTGTAAACCTATGTCGCTATCATCGCGGTCCTGCAAGAACGCACCTCAGAAGTTGGTAAAGCTTCATTGAATTCAAACAGCTTTAGCGGAAACCTATGGTGATGGCTTCGAAAGGCTTCTTGAGGCTTTTTGGATAAATGCCAAAAGCCCTACAATGAATAAGAGAGATGAATGCCCAGAGGTCATACGCGACCTGATGCCGTATGTTCGCATCAATTTCTGAAGTGGTGTGGTGCAGTCATCAACCATATGCGACTATAATCAGTTGTTTTAATCTTCCTCATTGGAAGTCACGTAAAAAGCGGTGAGTTTTTCAAAAAGCTGTTGGTCATAAACCATAGAGTTTTTCGTCTTTTTGTAAGTGGTATTGAAGCGTTTGGTCTAGCAGATTGTATATCAGTATACCCTTCTAGGCTCTGAAGAAGGCGGTAGTGCCGAAACGTCAGCTACTGTTGTATTGTGTTTTTCTATGAATTTCAATGTATGCTGTTTAACAACGCCGTGATTTCTGAACAGGCAAACGACGCATTCATATCCCAATGCCGAGGTTAATAGAAAGTTGATCCTGGGAACTGACCGTACAGTAATTACAGTTCGGCGACGATTGTCACAACTAACGAATCGTGTAACGCTTCTTTGTCAAGAACGAGCCTGCGTTCAACTTTACAATGACGTGTAATCGGCCAAACGTTCTGTACACGTCGGTTGCCGGTTGCGCATTACGTCTGTCGACGGACGGACCATAACTGCCAGGGTCCTTCGGCGTGTACCACTCCCTACGGTGGCTGTCCAAAGTTATCTCTCACTGCATCGCGAAGATCACATCTGCGGACTGCCCTTTAGAGCGGCATCGATTAACGCTAGTTTTAATCCCACGACCGACTTTCTATTAACCTCGCCATTGATGAAGGAATTCTTCGTATTCTTGTTGAGCAAACGCGAGGTGTTATTCTATTTTTTATTCACGAATAAGATGACGTTTCGGCGGATTTCGCCTTCCTCAGAGCATGGAATGGTCAAGTTGATAGTAATCTATTCGACCAAACACCTACATAGTCAAACAGAGAAAATGCTAAACCAAGATTTCAATCACATTGAACACAGAATAGTTTCTTTGCACACTCACCGCTTTTTATGAGTCTTCCACTGAGTATGTCGCGTGGAGACCAACCGCACAGAATTCACATGGAAGCGTAATGTGCCCCTCCCAACAGAGCAACAGGCTTATATACTGCCCATTATCGCTAGTTTTAATGTCTATGCCAAGACTGACATGTTTTCCAACGATGTGATATGGCCTCAAAATTCTGCCATGGCGATTAGTTTGTGCTCGTTTTCCTTTACGATTACCTCATACGAAAACTATTTGTCCTTCACTCTCAATTATTCTTAAAATTCTTGCCTATTCTATTCTACTTCTATTTGTTCATTCATAGACATTGCAACACTTAAGCAGCTGCTCTCAAGACTGGTAATTAAAAACCATTCCTTTATAAATTTTTTGCCTTGCCCACTCCCACACTTCACCTATTCGCATTCTTCAAAGTGTTATTGAGGTCCTGCTTTTGAATTTTCACCGCTGTTCAAACCTGAATCAAGCTACAAGCTCTGGAAGTAGCCACAATGTCTCAAAGTAGTAAGGTGACACTGCATTCGTCTGGGTTTGGGTCAGCATGGTTTCGCCCTAGCTAATTTGGCTTTATTGTGGGAACGTTTTTACGGGAATGGTGTATTCAAGCAGGGCATGATGTGCAATTTAACCACTATGATGCTAAGATATTTGCAAAACTTGGACCCCAAGCAAGATCATGTCAGAACAATTTTGTTCTCCGAATGATAACTAACTTCTCTCATTTTAAATTCAAATTTCGTGACCAGCAGTACCTACATTTCTAAGGTGCTTACGGGCATTTGAAGCGCAATAGTTATAAATGCCCTGCAATGCACACATGGTCTTTGGCTCGGTCACCTACCCTGGGCAGACAAACGCACCATCAAGACGGTAGCGCAGACTTGCCTAGGAGGATAAAAAGACTGAGTTGGTGTGCTCTTACGCCTCGGTAAGTGATCTTATAGGGTAAATATGCATTCAGTTCCTTATATAATACAATCGAATTAAGTTTCTATCTAAAATACCTAACGACAGAAGATCTAAAAATTTAAATTTTACGAGAAGTCTGACCTATGAAAAGGGTGGACTGCGGAGAAGCAGGTGGGCGATGGGTTTTCGTGATGCATTCAAACTGATTGATACCATCTGATAGCCTAGTTATGTTACCCCATCAACTGTGAAACTCAGCATTCATATCTTTGTCTTCTCTAATTCCATTTAACTAGATCATATGACGTCATCAGACACCCAATTTATTTTTCATCTATAATTGATAAATCATCAAAAAATGAATATTCAACTTGTTACAACCCACATCATTTCCAAATCTCTTCCCTTCCTGTTATTCTTGAAAATTTTGACACTTTTAGAGTTACATTCTCCTGGGCATCGCATTTCGGCTTTTTTATCCTTTGTTTTCCGAATCATTTTTTTTATTCTTCCAGCGTAGTTTTACTTTCTCCAAAAGAACGACGAGCTCCCACTCACTGAAACTCTTCTCCGCATTAGCTTATCAATGAAATAACGTTCATCGATTTTTCTTCACATACTTTTGCATCTTCAGTTTTCCAACCTACTCCATCACTTACGAGCATTCTGTCCATCTTTGCAAAGATTCTATTGTCAACTTCTTGGCAAAACTGTTCCATTTTCCCGTGCGGTTCTCAACAAAATAGTTTGGTGGCTTCTCCATTCTAGAAATTAGCTTCAATCTTAGTTCTGTTTTCAGTATGGCCTACACTCTATTTTGGTGGCAGCTCTGTTTGCTGATTTTTGTGAATTACTACCGACTCTCTTGAAGTGTTTTAGACGATCACAAGGCTATAAATGGCTTTGGGGTGGCAAACTGCATTTGCCCTATCCTTTCGATACTACCCTAAACCTGCACATTCCATTCTTAACGTCATAAAAGTTCTTTAACTTCTCAGCAGTAAAATATTTTAAGACTTTCTAAATGATATACGATTTTGAACTTTGAAAGTCAAAACTTTTTTAGCCATAAATAAAAAGAGTTGCATCTTTTTTAAGAGCGCTTGTAGCGCTGTGGTTGGAGGTACCTGCAATACATGTCCGTTCGATCCCAGTTCTCAGGTTCACCAAGTCTTCCATACTTCCGAGCTAGGCAGGTTGGTACCAGATCTCGCCTGGAAGGATAGCAGCACTGACTCGCTACATCGATAGGCCACCGCGAGTCAATGTATAAGCTATATATGTAATCAATCACTTCTAACGATGCCCGATGAAGTCGAATGCATTGTGCCATCCGTCAGGGATTGATCGACGCTAAGGGCATTATCCTCTCATCTTTTTCAATAAATAATCGTGCATTATTTAAGGTAATCAGCACCTGAATCCGACGGCTAACAATATTTCGTTCGTCATGTCGTAAGATTGACAGCCCTGGATAAATAATAATAATAATAATAATAATAATAATAATAATAATAATGATAATAATAATAATAACTTTAGCCCTGGTTTTCAATTTATGTCAGTTTC